CTGAGGAGTGGGGGGGGGACCGGCCCCCGCCTGCGAAGAGTGGGCGGCCGGGAGTCGAGGCACTCCTGAGCAGTCTCAGACGACGCAGGCGCGCGTCGTGGCGATATTGGCTCCCATCCCCCTTCGGCTTGGAAAAAACAGTTGTTTGAATGCCAGCAAATAAAGACAACACAAACAAACTAAACGAGAGAGGAAGGGAGGGAGAGAGAGAGAGGGGGATGACAACAACAACAACAACAACAACAACAACCACAGCAACAGCAACAGCAACAGCAGCAGCAACAACAACAACAACAACAACAACCACATCATCATCATCATCATCATCATCATCATCATCATCATGATCATCAGCAGCAGCAGCAGCAGCAACAACAACAACAACAACAGCAGCAGCAGCAGCAGCCGCAACAACAACAACAACAACAACAACGCCGACGACGACAACAACAACAACAACAACAACAATCATTTAAGACTGGGGACACTCCGTTCTCACCAGTGCCAGGGTTTTCATAGGAGGCGGGCAATACCCCCACTTTGTGGGGGGGCCGGTTCAAGCTCTACCAAGTTTCCAAACGACTTTTCGCCACCACCCACACCCAGCTTCCCGCCCTATGACGCTCGGACACTTCACTTCGTGGCCTGCGGACGACCTTGGCTACTACACTGACGACATGTGTCCCGCATGATATTTTTGGCAAGGGATTGTGGCCCCTGGCAGGCGCGCGAACGCCGTTGAAAGAGCTTGCGAAAACAGCTCGCGCGAGCTCTATAACATAAATGTTGAAAAACCATTGGTTTTTAAGGATTCGGACAGCGCGCGCGGGTAGAAATTTTGAAAATTCGTACAGATGTTTTTCGAGAACCTACGGTGCGATTCGTATGATTTTATGTTGCGCGGTGCTAAAATTCCTAAGAAACCCAATGATTTTTGAAGATTTCGGCGTGCGCGCGCGAAGAAAAAACGAATGTGTCCCACATGGTATTATTTGACAGGGATGATGGCCCTGGCAGGCGCGCAACCTTTGTTGCAGAAGTTCGAAGCACGTGAAAAAGTTGCTCGCAAGAGCCCGTTTGACAGAAATGTTGAAAAAGTATTGGGTTTCCTAAGAAATCCGCAAGAGCGCGCGGGGTGAATTTTTTGAAACCCTTTTTTTGAAAAACCATTGGGTTTTTCATGTTTTTATGTGAAAATCGCTACGAAGACTAAGGTTTTGGAAGGATTTCGTCTTGCGCGCGCGAATGTGCACTTCGTGTCATTTTTTGCAAGGGATTCTTGAAGTTTGGTCATGTTAGAACAAGAAATGTCCACTTTGCCTTATTTTTGCAAGGGAAAACGGGGGACAACAAAACAACCGGATCTGGTACACCCCGTTTTGCCTGAGACTTCCTCACGAAAATGATGAAAATGTGGCTGCGGCCTAGGCGCGGCGAGGGGGCCGCGCACCAGGGGTCCCAACAATAATTATTCTTTAGAATTAATAATGTTCAACAACAACAACAACCACCACAACCAACAAACACAACCACAACAACAACAACAGCAACAACAACAGCACAGCAACAACAACAACAACAACAACAATCATTTAAGACTGGGGACACTCCGTTCTCACCAGTGCCAGGGTTTTCATAGGAGGCGGGCAATACCCCCACTTTGTGGGGGGGCCGGTTCAAGCTCTACCAAATTTCCAAACGACTCTTCGCCACCACCCACACCCAGCTTCCCGCCCTATGACGTTCGGACACTTCACTTCGTGGCATGCGGACGACCGTGGCTACTATTCAGGGCCCCGCGGCCGACGACGACGGCGTGCGCGCGCGAAGAAAAAACGAATGTGTCCCGCATGGTATTATTTGACAGGGATGATGGCCCTGGCAGGTGCGCAACCGTTGTCGCAGAAGTTCGAAAAAGTTGCTCGCAAAAGCCCGTTTGACAGAAATGTTTAAAAAGTGTTGGGTTTCCTACGAATCCGCAAGAGCGCGCGGGATGAGATTTTGACATTTTTTTGTTGAAAAACCATTGGTTTTTTGATGTTTTTATGTTAAAATCGTTCCGAACACTAAGCTTTTGGAAGGATTTCGTCTTGCGCGCGCGAATGTCCACTTTACCTTATTTTTTGCAAGGGATTCTTGAAATTTGATTATATTAGAACAAGAAATGTCATTTTATAGTGTTTTTTGCAAGGGAAAACGGATTACAACAAAACAACCGGATCTGGATCACATCGTTTTACCTGAGGCTTCCTCACGAAAATGATGAAAATGTAGCTGCGGCCTAGGCGCGGCGAGGGGGGCGTGCACCAGGGGGCCCAACAATAATTATTCTTTAGAAGTAATAATATTCAACAACAACGACAACGGCAACGACAACAACAACAACAAACAAACAAACAAACAAACAACAACACAAAACAAAGCAAACAACAAAACAACACAAACAAACAAAAACGCCAGCCCCCGCTGGCAGGAGGCGAACAGGTCCCCATTCCCCCTCCCCTGGGGTCCCATTGCGCCACCAACTCGGCCACTGCTTATTGGGTGCACCGTTGCACAATGCATAGCGCCACAGGGTGCGCCAAGCATCAGACACTCCACCAAGCCGTCTGTCCATGATCTGCTGTGCCTTCTTTAAGTTGCACCTGCGGGGTTTCGACGCGGATTTGGCGTGGACCCGGCGCGGATTCGCCGCGGACCCGACGAGTCCGACATGGATTCGACAAGGATTCGACGCGGATGGGGCCGCGACGGGGCAGACAGGGTCCCCCGAGGATGCAGCATCGCCTTCTCACGATCCGCATCGTGCTGCAAGGGTTGGAATGGAGTGTCCTGAGGTCCCGTCGAGTTCTCTGCATCGAGACATGAGAATATTCAAGGGGCCCAAGGACACACAAATAAATACACACAAAATAGAATGATTCCCCATATTTTTCTATATTTTCTGGGCTTCTGTCTTCCCCCCTACCTCCCATATTTTCCCATATTTTCTGGGGGATGGAGGGTTAATTGTGTCTGTGTGTTTTTGTTCCGTTCCGGGGGCCGCGGGAGGGCGGTCTGGGATCCAGACTGCTGGCACGGCGTACAGTCGGGGCGTTGACCTAAGGAACCCTAAATAAGGAACGAAGCCCCTTTGTCCCATCCCAAAAGCTCAACTTCGATTTCCCATGGAAAACCTCAGAACAACCTGAGGCAAACTGTAATAAGACAACCAAGGAACACCGAGCCCCTCCCCAACGAAAAGAGTTCCTTCTTCAGCGGCCCTACCGTACGACGGTGCGAAGGCCCGTCCTAGAACCCTCGTGGGGCACTTTTGGGCCGCACTGGATGCCCTGGGGGCAAGTCCAAGAAGCCAGAATCGGTGAGAAGCTGTGAGGCCTTCTGGTGCGAAGGGCACAGTAGAAGGCCCGAGGTGCCCCCACAAGAAAGATGGAAGACAGCCCCCAGGGCTCCGAAGAAGGCCCAAGAGGTCCCCAAGGCGGCCTCACGTGGGCCCTAAGCGGGGAACCCCGAGTTGATGTTTCGAGCTCTTCCCCCCAAAATGACCCCCGAGACTGCCAGCAGGCCCAAAGGAGGCCCTCAAGCAGCCCCCAGGCGGCTTCCACTGAGCACTCCAGCACATGTGCACCGTCTCGGGTGCTGCGGGGGCGGCACCGGCGCGCCGGGTTTCTACACAGGTCGCGCGGCTCACTCATTTCTCATGTGCCGTGCGTTATATATAATATAATATATACAGATTCAATTCCAATCAGATCCCAATGCTTCGTTGATGCAATCTTTCATAGATTCGCAACATCCATATCGTGACAGTCTACTGTATTGCAACTATAACGTCGTACGCCGTCAATACATATGGATGTTGGCCAGCCCGTTCTGCGTCTTGCATTATAAAATGCATCCCATTGTGGAGCCCAGTGAAATACTTGTCGTATCCACTCTAATCTACCAACTTTACCCACTTTCCGTACCCATTGCCACTTTCGCTGATGTACTGTGGTCGTCCAATCATGGATGTGTAAGTTTGCCATGGTCGCCTCTGCCTTGTGAGTTGCTCGTTGGATCATCCATTATACCCAAGATTCCACAAGGCCACAGGGAAGGCTCCCAAGAAGCCACAAGGAAGGCTGCCAAGAAGCACCGAGGAGGCTTCTAAGAGGTCGATTGTCCACGACCCAAGCAAGGTGGCGAGATGAGCCGAAGGTCACTACAGTTGACCCGTATCATAAGGATGCGCGATATGATACAAGGGCCCTGGACGCCCATTTCGAAGCTTTTCGAGCGGGACGCGGCCAGCGAACGAGGCCGAGGATGGGCCGAGAAGGCAAGGATGCGAGGGTACCCTTGGGAAAACTGCCCATCCTTACGATGCGGGAAGACTGTAGATTGCAGAAAAACCTTGCAGCACTCGCCGTTTCAGGAAGACTAGTGCCAGTACGCCCCCTGAGATCCTTCAGCTCAGCGATCTGGCCCCTGAGCGTCTCCATGACGGCTGGGCAGGCGAGGATCGCTGGACCGATGGATTTCGGCATGCGGGACCCCGAAGTCCATCTGCCCAGTGGTCCTCGCCTGCCCAGCCGCCATGGAGACGCCCAGGGGCCAGATCTGCGGGACGGGAAAATGACCACAGCCACTGCTTCTTGTTTGCGCCGCCTTCCAGCCGGCCGAAAAAGAAGCAGTGGTTGTGGTCATTTCCCTGGTGCCAAGCTCAACGAAAATGACCACAACCACTGCTTTGTTTCTGCTGGCTGGAAGGCGGCAACAAAAGAAAAGCAGTGGCTGTGGTGGTTTTCACGTCCCGTATAGATCGCTCGAAGCGAAGGATCTCAGGGGGCGTAGCCAGGCCGACGCGGAGCGCAGACGCCTGCGCGCGGCGCGGCCGCCGCGAGGCTTTCGCCGCACGTGCGCGGCAGGTCCCCTGTGCACACGGACCCGCCGGGCGCTCGGCTGCGCGAGCGGGTCTGGGTGAAACGCGAGACGCGGGCGCGTCAGCTCCCGCTGCGTCAGCTCCCGCTGCTGGAATCTGCGCCAACGGGTCGGGGATGCGCAAGACTCGGGCTCGGGGGACTCGGGTGCGAAGGTGGGCAATTCCACGAGAGGCCTTCCACAAGAAACCCAGCCCCCTGAGACCCCAGGACGTGCTCTGGTCGCTGGTGTGGGCACGTCACGCTTTCCATGGCGAAAGCATCGAAACCCAAGAAACCCAGGGCACCCTGGAGGCAAGCAGGGTGTTTCTTGGCATGGGTCTCCACTGTAGGCCTCACGGGGCCATCGGGAACACGATGAGACCGAGTCTGAAATTTGAACACGAGCTCCCGCCGGAAACGCCCTACGAAAACGGGGCCGTCAAAACTCAGAACGGACCCGTCCAAAAAGCGTCGGCAAACCCGGGCGCTGGCGAACTCGAATCTTACGCCTCCCCGAATGGAGCCAGTGGATGAAAATGCCCGGTGGATCTTGCCGCAGACTTTCTGGGCCGCTGTTTCGCTGCCGTCCCACTCGATGTAGCTCAGGGCCTTGTGGAGCGCCATCTGCGTGCATACCTCCTTGTACCGCTCGCACATTTTCAACACGGCGACCTTCTGCAAGCGGCTGTACTTGTCTGCTTCACCTGCATGGTTAAGGATCCAGAGTAGCTCCTGAAAGGTGCTCATCACCTCATGAGTCTTCTGTCCATATGTTTCCGTGCCGAAGATGACTGCAAAATCTGCCGACTCGAGGTTTTTACAAATAAGATTCCTGAAAATATCTTCTCCGGCCAGAGCGTCACAGAGGAACACACTGTAGCCGAGTTCCTCCAGCCGCTTCTTCAGCACCTGAGCAGCTGCCATGGCCTCCTTGAAGCGAAGGCTGAAGAACACATGCCCTGGCTTCTGTGGCGGGCCCACGGGTCGGTCGTCAGGCGGCTCCTCGGGTCGGCCGTCGGGCCGGTCGTCAGCTCCGTCGCCGAGTCGGCCGCCAGGTCGGTCGTCTGTGAGGCTCTCCAGTCGGCCCTCGGGGAGGCCCTCGGGGAGGCCGTCGGGCCGGTCGTCGGGCGGGCCCTCGGCTCGGCCGTCGGGCCGGTCGTCAGGCCCGTCGTGGGGTCGGCCGTCGGCTCGGTCGTCAGGGAGGCCCTCCGGTCGACCCTCGGGGAGGCCCTCGGGTCGGCCCTCGGGCCCGTCGTCGGGGAGGCCCTCTGGTCGGCTCTCGGGGAGGCCCTCGGGGAGGCCGTCGAGTCGGGCGGCGGGCGGGCCCTCGCAGAGGCGGTCGGGCGGGCCGGTGGGGCCAGGGCAGCGCGGGCCAGGTCCCAGTCCAGGGCAGGTCGTCCTCGCGGGCCCCGCCCCCTCCCCACGCCAACCCCACTCGAGAGCTCCAGGGAGAGGAGTAGGAGGGACGGAGGAAGAAAGAGGAGCGGCGGACGTATCCCTGTCCACGCCTTCGCGCCCCGGATTCCAGGGCGAGATCTCGTCGATGCGCGGTCGCATGGATACGTTCCGCGCGGGGCATCCACGCATCCGCGGTGTCGCGGCCCAGGGGCCCGGACCGCGAGGCCGCGAACACGGATAACTACGCTTTCCGCCCGCGAGACGAGGAAGAACAGTGGGGGGCACCAAAACCAGGCGCCTACACCGGTCCTGGCCAGGATCGGTGTATGCTCCGTCGTGGTTTGGGCAGGCTGGCACACACAACGATCCTGGGCCCAGGATCGGCCGGGCTAGGATCGGTGTACGGGTGCAGCTGATGTCCTCCAAAGACACGATCGACGTCGCTGGATGTCTGCCCTCTCTGGGGGCCTGCGGGGACAGCTGTGGGCGTCCAGGGGCCCCTCGGGGATGGGGAGGCGAATTCGCAATCATAAGCTTTAGGCTGGTGCTCAAGTCGGGCTGAGCTGCAGACAGAGAAGATAGATCAGACACAGACCTGCGCACACTGTTGGCGTGAGTGATTGCGAGGGCGACGGCATAGAAGCAGCACAAAGAGCATCATCATAATTATCATCATCATCATCATCATCATCATCATCATCATCATCATCATCATCATCATCATCATCATCATCATCATCATCATCATCATCATCATCATCATCATCATCATCATCATCATCATCATCATCATCATCATCATCATCATCATCATCATCATCATCATCATCATCATCATCATAATCATCATCATCATCATCATCATCATCATCATCATCATCATCATCATCACCACTACCAACAACAACAACAACAACATAATCATCATCAGCATCAGCATCAGCAGCAGCAACAGCATCGGTATCTGAATCAGCATCAGCATCAGCATCAGCATCAGCATCAGCATCATCATCATCAGCATCATCATCAGCACCGTCATCATAATCAGCATCGTCGGAATCATGATCAGCATGATCATCATCATAATCAGCATCATCACCAGCATCAGCAGCATCATCATCAACATCAGCAGCATCATCATCGGCATCAGCATCATCATTATCATAATCAACATCGGCATCAGCAGCAGTATTATCATCCATAACAATAAGCATCATCATCATCATTAGCAGCAGCATCATCGTCATCAGCATCATCGTCATCATCGGTATCATCAGCAACAGCATCAGCATCAGCATCGTCCTCATCATCAGCAGCATCACCATCATCAGCATCAGCATCATCAGCATCATCAGCATCAGCATCAGCAGCATCATCATCATCATCAGCAGAAGCAGCATCATCATCAACATCATCAACATCATCAGCAGAAGCATCATCACCATCATCACCACCACCAGCAGCATCCTCGTCATGATCAGCATCAGCATCAGCATCAGCATCTGCATTCACGATTGCATCATTTCAGCGCCGAAGCGTAATCCTGCTTCTCATCACAGAGGGTGGAGGACGATCGCTCGGCAGGAAGGGCATCGAGCACCACGCGTTCACGGTCGGGGCGCTCGCCCTCGAGAGAGCTCTGCACGCACGCTTTGCGCGCGCGGGGGAGCGCCCGCGCTCCCCTGCCAAAAAAGGTGTTGTAGAGGGGGCCGTGGGACACACACATATACACAGAAATCAAAAGATACCACATGTTTTCCCATATGTTCTGGGTTTCTGTCTTCCCCACCGCTTCCCAAAGTTTCCCACATTTTCTGGGGAGTCGACGATTAATTGTGCCTGTGTGTTTTTGTTTCCCCTCCTGAGTGTTGTAGAGGAGGCCCTGAGCGCCGGCCACCCTCACTCCGACGCCCCCGCCTCCGTGCGGAGCGGACACGCCAGGGGCGAGGCAGGCGACCCCTCCCAGGAGAAGGCCGAGGGGGGAGCCTCGAGAGGCCTCCCAGAGGTAGGGTCCGAGCAGATGCGGGCGGAGGATTGCGCCGCATGGCCGATGCATGTCGCCGACGCATCGGCGATGCCTCGGCGACGTGGGCGGTGCATCAACGATGGTAGCGTGGAGAAATTCGGGCTCCACATCGAGCCGCGTCGCCAATTCAACGGCGACGCATGTGGCTAAATCCCCCGACCCCATCTGTTCCGACCCCCTTCTGGGAGGCCTAGAGTCTCAGAAGGCCTGTGAGGCTGTCATCCGAATCTCCGACTCCAGTTGAGCGGGGGGGGAGGAGGAAGAGGAGGAGGAGGAGGAGGAGGAGGAGGAGGAGGAGGAGGTGGAGGAAGAGGAGGAGGAGGACTATGTTGGTTCATGCTGATAGAACGAAAACGATGCCCCATGGAATCGCGCCGCGGGTCATCCTGGCCGCATCGGGCCGTCCCCGGGCCGAGCCAGGATGCCGTGCCTTCTGAGGGCTAGCCTCATAGGGGCTTTCCTGTGGTGGGGTGTGTACCCTGCCCAAGTCACTTTAGCCTACCCCCGATCACCCTTTTGGCCCCAGGGCGACATGGGGAAAATAGGCCCGACCACCTGTCGCCGGCATACCTGGAACACCTACGACAGAAAACGTACGATGGACGAAACACAAATGCATGCGCCGCTCCTCGAGCTTGTCGACCCTGACAGCCACCGAGTCCAGAATGGCCCGCGGAAAGGGGGGGGGGGCGCCAGAGGGGGGGGAAGGGGCCCTCTTGGTCCTTTCACCCTCATTGCCAGCCGCCCCAAGAAGCCCAGGGAGGTCCAGGAGTTCCGAGACGGGGTCGGGGGGGTTCGAGTCCGGCGTTGGACTCGAGCCCTTTTCCCAGCGTCGGCTAGATCGCTGCCTAGTACTCCTACATACGTTCCAAATTCGAGAATCTCACGAACGAGCTTGGATCGATCTACGCACGCATCTCCACACCACGGGTGATGGGTATGGTACAGCGCCCCCTGTCTAGCATACAGATCCGCTATCGTATTGCCCGCCCACCTCGCTCGGCCGATGCTCTCTCTCTCTCTCTCTCTCTCTCTCTCTCTCTCCCTCTCGGCCCGCGAAGCGTGAGCTTTTACATTACAGACCTGCACATTGCGGCTCAGTCCGCCGGGCTCGCCGAGAGCTCTGAAGATGTCCTCCCAGCGGTCTAGGTGCAGCGAGCCCTTCTTGCCGAGCCTGCTGGGGCCCTCCAGGATGCCGTTGAACACGTTCTACGCTGTGCTACAAGTGCTTCCGCACTTGTAGCACAGCGTAGAGCTCCAACCGCCGCACCGCAGCTATGAGTGCTCCCGCGCGCCCCCGCGCTGTGAGCCATGGTGACTTGCAACGTGCTAGTTTTCATGGCCCACGCGCGCCACGCCATGCTGAGCCTGCTCGCCAACTGCTCGTCGAGGACCGCCTCCTGCCACGCCGTCGCCCACGCGAGGGTGGGCCCGCTGTTGATCAGGTTGCCAGGGTCCACGTTGTCGCTCAGCAGCGTGAGTGGTGTGGACCGCCCCCTTGCGTTGCCCTGCACCGCCATTGCCACGCTCGCCCTCAGCTCGTTCAGCTTGCTGTCCGCCATTCCGGCCACTGGGGAACCGCAGAGAAAGGCTGGCACCTTGGCGTGCCCGGTGATATTGCGCGCTGCCCCTCCTGCCGACTTCACGGCTGCCACCCGTGAGGCCCTCGCTGGAAACTTGAATGTCCGCTTGCTGATGGCGGTCACTCTTCTTCTCCTGCCCGCTGCTGCCGCCACGCCAAGGTGCATCTCCCGCTTCGCGACCCGTACTCCCAGGCGTCGGGAGCTGGCGTTCAGGCCAGCGCCCCCATCCGCTCAGTGGACGAGGCCAGGGTGGCCGTCTTGCCCTCTGAGCCGCGCATGACTGCCATGTCGAGGTCGTCCTCGAACATGTCGATCACCGCCTCGATGAGCAGCGGGCGGAAGTGCTTCGCGAATTCCTGCAGTCCGCGCGCGGCCAGGGCTAGGTCGTCGAAGAAGAGGCATGCGTCCGCCCACGGGAACTGGAGGACTAGCTCGTCCAGCTCCAAGATGATCACCATCTCGAGGCAGAATGGAGCATACCTGCTCCCTGCCACTATGCCTCGCTGCCATGCCTTGCCTTCGGTGTAGCTGCCGCCCAGGACGACGCGCATCACCTCGCTGCAGATACGCAGGACGACCCGCATGACAATGGGGTTGAAGTCCCACCGCCTGGCTGCCTCCCACACCTTCCTGCGCGTGACCCATTCGAAGCACTTGACCAGGTCGAAGTAGGTCACCGCGTATTCGAATCCTTCTGCTCGCGCTGACTCACAGCACAACACTTGCAGCCGGGCAGCCCTTCTGATGACCGCCCTCGCGTCGCCCAGTCGTAAGCTCTCTGGTTTCTACCGCCTCCCAGCGGCACGCGCACGGAACGCGCATGGTCTCCCACGCGCGCGCCAGCTCAGGGATGATGAGGCCCAGCTTGCGAAAGCCGCCCGCGGATTTCGCCATGAGGTAGAACAGGATGGGCGCCTGTGCCGTCGGCCACGGCGCGCCCTTCCCCACTGCGTTCAGCGCGCTTGCCACGCGCGCAGCCCCTTGATAGCCTCCCTGTCGCCATAGGCACGGGTGCCAGTCTGCCTCGCCCAAGCCAGCGTCGGCTCGGAAGCGCCCGCATGCGTCCGGGACGTCCTGGGGGGCGTTCCTCGGCAACGCATACCCGCTCAGCTCTAAGCTGGACGGGGCCTGGCACCAAGGCTCGTCTGGGTCGCAGCTGTCAGCCCACACCTTCCCCCAGCCCGCGAGCGCCGCGCCTGCCGCCACCTGCGGGCAGAGGAGCTAGATCGCGGTGCTCGTCTCCGTCGGCTTCATCGGCCCCCACTGCGCTGGCGGCTCGGCCCACCAGCGCAGCGCCCCCGCTCCTGCTCGGCTGTGTTTGGCGACCCAGCGTCGCCTTCCCCTGGCTGATGCTTGTCGCACTCGCCGCCAGGTATGCCTGCTCGCCGCCCC